ATCCTTTTAAAAATCGTTTTCCTTTACAGGTCTAGGAAGTATTTCATATTTGAGATTTTTTTCATTTTCTCTTTTAAAATAAAAAGTTTAGTTATTGCTGTTTCATTTGCTTTCTTGCTGACTAAATAACAGACTCCATATGAAGAGTTGAGGTTTGTTGTGGCAACTTTTCAGTCTGGCATTTGAGATTCTAATCTTCCTCTATTTTTGCACACGAATACGTAGGTTAGCATTGGAGACCAAGATAGAAAAGTTCTCAGATTCCCTTGGCAAGCCTAGATTTTTCAATCTAAAATTATCTCTGGATTTTTGGAAGACAGCATGTTTTAAGCATCCTCTTTAAAATTTTTTGAACAAGTTGCACATGATTCTTCTGAAAATTTTACTAAATGTTTATTCTGCTGAAAACCCAAAGCCCAGTACCCCAGCAGTTTTATGTCAAGGGGGACTAATAACCCTATAGGAAAACGATTTTGTCTGAGAGCTAGTGGACTGGGGAATCACATGAGTTGAATGTCCACTCTCTCCTTTACCAGACTCTTTTGACTTTGTGCTTAGTGGTAAGTGACCATCCAACGTGAACAAAGAATGTTGGTTTGAGTAAGTTTTTGGAGTTACAGAAAAAGAATGTCGTTTTCTCTTTGTGTAGGTTCACTGAGAACCTGAATGTGTTGGGGTTGTGCTTTATCCATACTGAAACTGTCATCCTGAGGGCCCCCCAATTGACGGATGCAGTGGCTGTTGCTTACTCATTTCCCTTGACCTTGACCGTAAATATTTGGCAAGATGAGCAATACTTTCTTGCTGTTGTGAATCTCCTTTTGGTTGGCCTTTTAAAAAAATTACTCTCATTATTTTTAATGGAGGTACTGGGGATTGAACCCGGGACTTCGTGCATGCTGAGCACGTGCTCTACCTCTGAGCTATACCCACCCCCTTGGTTGCCCTTCTTGACTTGGAGCTATGGTGGTCCTTATCTTAACTTTGTGACTCTGCTTATTCTCTCGCCTTTGCTGCTTCTCTTCCCGTATCTGCCTGGGAGCATTTTCTAAGGCCTAATTTAATACCTCTACCTCTTTCCCCCAGTGCATGCTCCTTCCCACTGATCCAGTATGTGACTTCTATGTAGAGACTCATTTCACCCCCATAGCCTGTTTCCACTCAGTGACCCCCAACTCAAGATTTTGCTGCAAGTCATTTCTTTCTCCCCAACTAACTCACCCTTATTCATGTTCCTGAGGCCGTACTTTCTCCAGGTGATGGGGCCCTTCATTGCTTTTTTCTTACCAGCTGAATACCACATCTCTTCCTTCTTTATTTGGGTTGTATTTGCCGTTTGCTTTCTATCCCTATGATATGATTTAAACTTTGTACCTGTGCTCTAACGGACTTCAGACATAATCTGATTCAACCCTGGATGAGAAAAATGAGACCCAGTGAATTTAGTCATGAATTGAGTTAGCTCACATTTATGGAGTATTTACAGTACAGGCCAGTTCTTGGAATACAGAGCTGGAAGGCGCAGCCTAGGGAAGAAAACCAAATAAGCAGTTGCCATAAAGTATGGCAAGTGGCTAAAAGTCGGAGGCACATAATAAGCTCCACCAGGTTCAGAGATCTTACCTATCTTGTTCACTGGTGCTGTCTCCAGGACCTATGACACAGTGTTCTAGGAACAATTAAGTCTTTTTTGAATGAATCAATGATCATCTGAGAATCAAACCAGAATAATGTTAAATCAGCAATCTATAGAAAAGATACATGCCAAGAGACATTTAGTACATGTAATTTTGAGAATTTCAGGGAAAACTTTTAAGCTCAACCAAAATGACCCAGCTATAACCCTAGGAAGGCATGATTGGAATGTGTTTGTAGCCAGATGCTGAAATTTAATTTTGTATCCTCAAAAGAAAGACTGTGATTACAGAAGGAAAGGGTTGTGATGTCTATGGAAATTGGGGTGGTGGGTCCCAGAGAGGAATTGGGTGATGTGTCTGTAGCACTGTCTGGGGGCCCAGGCCAGGGGAGCTGCGTATGGTCCTCCACTGGGCCTTTGCACTACCAGGCAGATGGGCGTTGATGCCCCTAGTGGGGAGAATCAATCGTTCCCTTGCTTTGCTTCCATGATCCTAATACCCTTTGATTAGAACATGGCTTCACATGGAGATTTCCTGCCAAGGAGAGAATGTGAGTGGTTGAAAGTGGTCTGCATCCAGACTGCTTGATCAGATCCTGGTCTTGGGATGCTGGCTAAGCTCCTGTTTTCCCATCTATAGATTGGGAATAATAGCTGAACCTTCATCTTTGCTGCCTACCTCCTGGTAAATGCTCAATAGGTATTAGCTCTCATCAGTGTTTGTAAACTTAGTAACTGGCCTTCTGGTTAATACACCAGTCATCTTTGAGCTTAGATAGCCTGAGTCAGTCCCCCTGAACCTGCTTGCTCCTGGATGCACTGACAATGCTGAGAACCAGAAGGTGGGAAGTCCTGACAGATAGGCTCTTCCCAAACTGCTTGTTCAGAGAATCCAGCTGCAGTTGTTAGGGAACATTTCCAGAAGAGGGCTGTGCTTGAGCTGAGTACTGTGGGGAATAGTTAATGAGTCCAGAACCACAGTAAGGGGAGAGGCCTTAGAAGCAGGGCCACAATGACTACACAAAGGTGCAGAGGTGAGCAAGCATGAGGATGTGAGTTACAGGAGATTCAGGGTGAAGGGTGGACAGATAAAAATAGGGGAGTAGAGGGAAATGAGATGGGAGAGGAAAGTGGGGCCAGCTTTTGAAGAAATATATGTTAATAATATCTAACTTATTGGGCACTAACAGCGTGTCAGGTGCTGTGGTTGTCCCTTAGACTCTCTGTGCTAGCCAGATTTGGTGCAGAGTGCTTTGTGTATATACCTCATTTGGTCCTCATAACAGTCCTCTGATGTAGGCATTTACTATTACAGGAGAAGCCATAAGTCGAATGTCACCTTCTAGGTCTGTGCCTTTTGATTCAGCCTACACATTCCTACAAGGCTAACTCTTGGTAGCTTTTGTGCATTTAAAAAAGCCTTTTGTGACTCCTGTTTCCTGATGAAGTCCAAGTCCACCAAGATTCTCTGACTTCGTGAAGTCATCTTGGGTTAAAGTGTGAAAATATTTATGTCTTCAAATTGAATAAAAATAGTAAATAAAAATAAAAATAGCAGATATGCATCAAGGTCAGAGAAATATTCAGTGAAAAAGGCAAAATCCAGGACAATGGGTATATGTGCCCATTTGTGTGAAAAAGAGAGAGGAATACACATGAAATAGGTTTCTAAGCACAGAAAAAAATTCTGGAATGATGAAAAAGAAACAGTAATTGCCTTTGGGATGAGGCCCCAGAAATCTAGGCTGTTAGACTGACCTAGCTTTTTCTTGCATACTCTTTTGTACAGTATGAATTTTTCCTACTGTGTATGTGCATTATATTTTCAATTAAAAATGAATACAAATGAAAATTTGAGTGTCTGCTATGTACATAGCAGTCATTTAGAGAGGGAGTGTAGTATAGAGGTTAAGAGCAAGGACTCGATCCAGACTGCTTGGGTTCGAGTCCTGCCTCTGCTACTTACTCATCACTAACCTCTAAGTCATACAACCTCTCTTTGCCTCAGTTTACCCTGTCTGATAATGGGGGAAGTAATAGTACGTACCTTCTGGGGTTACAGTGAGGCATAAAGGAGTTAATATTTGTGAAGTCCTTAGAACAGTTCCTGACAAATGTGGGTTTGTGGTGGTGGTGTTAGGGCCCTGCATTGTGCGCTGCCATGAATGTGAGGATGTGTCCAGCCTCTGTCTCCGTGTGCTCACAGTTCATCTGGAAAGGGAAGTCACACAAAGCTAACAAGGAGCAGTTGCAGAGGGGGCTGCCGGAGGTCAAGAAAGGCTCTCTGGGAACTGAAGGGGCCTGAGATGGTTTCATCAAAACAGTGGATCTTAAATATGGGTAACTACTAGAAAAAGTGACAGGAGAGAAAAGGGCACAAAGAGGCTTGTTCCAAGGAGGATGTATGTCCTAGATGGAATGCGACAGAGGAATGTGACAGGAAAGAGCCTTGAGGGAGCCTAAAACTGCGATATGTCGTGAGATGGCAGGTCATCGTTAGATGGCAGAGTTTTTCTTAGCATGTATAAATTTGATGATAGGATTTATAAGGGAGTTTAGGTCTGATGAAACAAGGTAACTCTGCCTTGATCTTTCAAATGGTTGTGAGGTGTTCCTGTGTAATTTTGTTAATGAACCCCTTAATGCAGGACATGTGGGTTACTTTCAGGTTGGCACTTCTAGACAGACAGTGCTGCCAATGAGGGTCCTGGATGCAGACCTCTACATTTACTTAGTCTATTTCTAGAATTCATTCTTAGATGGTGTTGCCTTTTTTTTTTTTTTTAACCATTTTGACTATGTTCCTTGTTTTGGATATGTGCTTTTTCAAATTGGTAGTTTTTGTGAAGAATCATAATGTGGAAGTTTTTGAATGTGGAATTAGAGCTACATGTTCCCTGAAAAAAATCTAATTTTCTTACTAAAGATGATTTTGGGCTTAGATACTAGCAAGTTGATAATTATGACTGGGGAACCTAGGAATACCTGAGTCTTTCCCCAGTCCCAGAGGTGGATATGTGTGGCTGAGAACAGAGGCACAGGAAAGCTGGCTTAGCTCCCCAACTTGAGTGCTGCAGGCTGGTAACCTAGGCAGGGAGAGGTGAAAGTGGTCCCTCTCACCAGCTCACGAGGACCTATCTCATCCCTGGGTCTCAGGGTAGGAGGATGCACCACATCCTTGCGCTTTAAGTCCCTTTGTAATGTACTTTGTGATGCAAGGTGATCCCTTCCTTAGCAGTGTCCATGTACTTGTAGTTTGAGGCTGAAAGAGGAGGGAGTGGTAGGCAGGGAAATGGGTGGAGCCATGACCTCCTTCCCCTCTGGAGAACACAGGGCAGCACAGTTTTAGTTTGTTTCCAGGACTTTGGAAGTTGGGGCCAGAGCTGGAAGAAGGTAAATAATGTTTTTGAAAGTTCTTGTGACTTTGCAGTGTTGGTGGGGGTGGGGAGGGAGAATTTTGTATTTTTATAAATAGTAGACCAGGGTGAAGAATTTCAAAAAAGATAAAATTCTGCCCTCTAACTGGTCCCTGGCATCTTTCAGGAGCTTCTATTTACTGAGTAAGACTCAGAATGTGCCAAGTGCTGTCCTTTATGGATTTAATCCTCACCATAGTACTGAAGAAACTGAGGCCCAAGAGTTCAAATAACTTGCCTCAGGTCATAGAGTGAGCAAGTGCTTTCATTCAACTGATAGTTACTGAGAGTGGAATTTCATTTGTAGGTGAGTCTGTCTTCCCAAACCCTTACCCATAGCTACTGTCCTTTGACAATACCTGTTTCCCTAGTATCTCAGCATCGGAACATCTTACCTACAAAGTAAGAGCATAAGCTACCGCAGGCCTGCCTCTTTTCCCTGCCTCGGGAAGGGGTGGGGGAGAGTGGGGATAGGATGGGGAGGAGGCTCTTTGAATGTCCTCATGGCTAAATATTTGACCTGCTGGAATGTTTGTGGAGAAAATTGGGCGCCCTAGCTGTAACTCTGACTTGCTGTTCTTTTTTAGCAATGGGAAGGAAGGCTTGCTGGGTGTGCAAAATTGGAGTCAATGTTTCCTGCCTGGAGGAGGGAGCTTTTATAATATCCACTGATAACATTTATGGATATTATAAAAAGAGTACCTTAAAGTTTCAGAAATGATCCTGAATCTGAAGTGTATTTATCTAAAGGTTATATAATTCCTCTCTGTAATAAGTGAAATAATTTCCATATTACACTTTGATTTACCCATTTGTATATAAGCTTCTTGATAAATACTTGCTTTTCCCCATCCGAGGTTAATTTTGGTTATGTGTCACAGTGCAAGTTGTTAAGAATGAGTAGCACTATAGAATTTTAAATTTCCTTAAATAACCTTCTAGTAGATACATTAGTTTTTACTAGTTCAGTTTGCTTTTACAAGTTTGGAAACTTTGGATAACTGAGCTAAAACTAGACTTAAACAGAGCTGAGTGGATCAAGGCCTTTTCATGCTGTAACACACTGGAATAAAAATCACCTGCAGGTTTTTTCATAGATGTAGATTTTTTTTTTAAGTTTTTTTTTTTTTTAACAAATTGGATTTGAAAAAGTACATCAATGTTTTGTGATTTTTTAAAGATGATTTACTGTAAGTTATTCTCACTTCTTGATTTACACTTGAATTTCCATAAGCAGCACAATTTGTTGTTGTAGAACTTTTCATAGTGCTTGGGGTGCATTTTGATGTGCAGATTTTTATTGGCCCAAGACCATTTCAGTTTATAGATAAAAACTTAATTTCACCTGAGCACTTTTTCAGGAGTTTAGGAGCCAACTTTGTTCACCCTTTGGTGATGTGTGGTAATTATTTGTAGATAAACCTGTTTTTGGTAAGGCTTTGCCCCCCACCTATTTCCCTCTCTTTTGAATATTTCTGTTTAACAAAGTTTTTTTTTTTTTTGGCTTAGAGTGTTCCTCTAATAAAATTCTTTCAAAAGTTCTAATACTTCATTTATTTTAATGGCAGCAGATTTGAGAGTTTGCCTTTGACTTCATAAAAAGACTACACATGAGTCTTAGGATAGAGTAAATTCATTTATTACCAAAGAATCAGACAGATAGCTGGATTTGTCCTCAGCAGGACCAAGTAATAATGGATTTTTTTCATTAAATGTTCACCATTTTTCTTTGTATGAAACAATATATGGTGATTATCATCCATTTAATTGACTTTTCTGCTTGTTTATGCAATGACTATTTAAAAAACTAAACTTTGATTTTTTCCTCTTTCTACCCCCCACCCACTCCATACCCTCAATTTGAACAAAATTAAACCTGTCATTTATCTATATGACTGTTTAACACATTTGGCCTATTTTGTTTTTAACCTGTGTTATTTTGAAACTAATTTCAACTCTGTTGGCTTTGTGGTTAGAAAATTTCTTTCTTCTGCTTAAATGAAATTACCAGTTATTTGTAGATTACCAAATATAAAAGCTCTTCAAACCCACTAATGATAACTTGCTTTATTTTTGTAAAGGAATGTCGTATTTTGTGGTGATAAATTGTTTAAGAGCAAGAGTCAGCACAAGGGCAATCAGGTGTCACCACATGGAGGCAGTTTGTGCCCCCATTAGACTAGAAGCTCTTTGACATCGGCACTGACCTCTGCATCCTGGGTGCCTGGAGCATTCAGGCACAGCCTGCAGGTTGAGCCGTGTTGGTGGGCACAAGTGTAGAGGCATCTTTGTTCAACTCTGATAGATGACAGATTCCAACTATGATTAGAATTTTTTAGAATTCTGTGATTAGAATTTTTGTTTAGTAGGGTTCTTTTCTATCTATGTGCATTTTCATAGCTCAGTGTGGAAAAGCATGGGTTTCATAAACCACTCAGTTGTTTAGTAACTTTCTGGTTTGTTTTAACAGTTCTACTAGCCTCTTCTTGACTAGGGCAAATATAGTTTAATCCTGACTTTCTTAAAACTTTTTCATTGACATTTTTTACTCTGATAGGACTTTAATGTTTCAGGAGTTGTTGCTTGATTCTTTAAATTAACATGCTTTAGTATTAATTCCTTGGAAACTTTCTTTATAAACTCATGTCCAGTTTTGCACATACTATACTAGTCTCCCCGGCAGAGTTAGTCTGGGCTTGGTGGACCCAGAAGTGTCACTTCCTTTCCTCTGGCCTTGGCTCTGCATGCCTCCCTTTCCGTTTCAGTGTTTTAATGATACCCTCCCTGCTCAGTGATTTATGTTCAGGAAGCTAAGCAGTGATTACATTTGTTTCTGCTTTGTGAGCTTCCTCCCCCACTTCCTATTTTTACCCAGCAACTGCAGGAAGTGTGGGGGCTCCTGGCTGGCTGTTCCTAAGCCCTGATTTTAGGTGGCAGAGGGCAAGGCCTTAGGGCCTGAGCCATTTAAAGCATTTTCCACCTAAGTCTTTGTACTACCTCCTTCCTGTAGGAATCTAGGAACTGGCTTTTGTGATTGGTGATTTGAGATAAGGACATGTCCTCCTCCCCTGGGGTTGAGGGGAGTTAAGTGCTGCTGAGCTGGAGGACAGAGCTTTGGTGAAATAGGTGAGGGTTTTTTCCAGTGGGAACAGCAGGGTGTCGTGGTGCTGTGGAGAAGCTGTTGTAGGTGGGCAGTGTGGCAGGAGCAGAGGGTGGGCTGAAGGGGCCTGTTGCAAGTAAGACTAGAGAGGTGAGTTCTGGATTCATGGGGGCCTTGACTCCCAGGCTTGGGGTGAAGTGAGGAGCCTCACCTGCTCTCTTGAGATCGCTGACCAGGCCTCAGCCTCTGTGGTGCTCTCCTTCTTCCCACTCAGTATTTATTTTCTAAACCACACATGTAGCATTTACCTGCCTCTTTTCCACTGGTATCTCTTATGGACCTGGTATAGCTTAATTTATGGGGGAAGTTTGTATTGTCTTCCCAGAAAGAAGTAACTTTTTATCCATTAGGTACTTCAATATGGAAGGAATTTGTTAAGCAGAGCTGCTGAATTGCTACACTCTGGACCTTTGAGTGGGTAAGTTTTTGTCTTCAGGTGAATAGGGGTCTGTCCTGGGCATTGCAGGATATTTAGGAGCATTTCCAGCCTTACTTACTAGAGCTTTTTCAGTTGTGACAACCAAAAAATGTTTCCAGACATAGCTAAATGTCCCCTGGGCAGTGTGTGTGTGTGTGTGTGTGTATGTGTGTATGTAGCATCATCTTCCTGACTTGTTGAGAACCACTGTGTTAAAAGATTGAATGCTGACTTACTAATTTTGTGAAATGGAATAAAATAGAATGTCTGGTTCCTTGGGATTGGAGCTATTTGTTAGTTTCTATTCTGGCGTGTGATATTCTCATACATTTTTAGTTGTTACTTAGATTTTGCTATTGTCTCCTTTGCTTTCATTGAGAGAGCTGGAGCGTAAGCATCTAGCTAGCAGCCTAGCTTCTAGTCCTCATAAAAGGTATTCTCTCTCAGCCTTAAATGCTTGCTCCTGAAGGCTGGTTCCTTGGAAGCTGAACAGTGCTGGTGTAAAGGAGGGGGAGAGGCATTTAGGATGTAACAGTAGCAGTAGGTAACAGTTCTGGATCTGTTGCAGTAGACCAGGTGAACGGGATTGAACTGTGAACTGTGGTGAACAGGACTGGCTGGATTGAATGTAAAGCACCTGCCAGAAAAGGGAACAGGACAGGGACCATCTGGGATGATACCGTAGGTTTAGGTGCAGTGTAGGTAGTGCCTTTAACCAAGGCAGTAAATACAGCAGGAGGAGCAGGGAATGGAAGGATGACTTGGTATCATTTGAAGGACCTCAGGAGATGTCTTGTGAGTCTAGTGCCAGGAGAGAGGGATCTTGATTGGAGAGTTGCATTTAGGTCATCAGCAATGAATATGAGTTTGATCTCCTAAACAGAGGTCACTTTCTTTTCATTGCTCCAGCCCGACTTCCTGTCAATTCCAAGAAACCTATGGCTTGAAACCATCTCCTAAGGGTGATAAGCAGACTGTCCTGGTCTGGATAGTTGACAGAGGTGGAATAATGCAGTGATGGAGAGCCCAGCTGCTGGTGACAGACTCCCAGGCCCCAGCCCCAGCACTGTCAGTAACCTTGGCTGTGTGGCAAGAACGTGGAGAACTCACTTAGCTTCCTTACATACTTCACCTACCTGGCAGGGTCCTTTTGAGCATTAAATTAGATAACAAATGAAAAGTGCATAGCACAGTGCCTGGTACTTAGTACCCATTCAGTAAATGTCCGTTTTTATTTTACAGCTCCACTGAACATTAAGTGTTATGTAAAGCTCCAGGTATAATACTTGAGACATTGTAGTCACTTAATGAATGATCAGTTTTGTTGAGGAGTACTTGTGTGAATGCGGCATGTCATCAGCTTTTTTTTTTTTTTTTCAGTCTAGCACTTCCGCTACTGCCTCTGTGGATAGCAAGGCTGAACGTATGAATGCTGCATAGAAATAACCATTAAATAAATACTGAGGATGAACTAATCATTCAGCAAATATCTGTTGAATGTTTATAGTGTGCTTGGCACACTCGGATATCTCGAATGAGCTGGGTGATGTTGGCAGTTGGAGATGCGGGGAAACACAGAGGAAACTGGCAGTTGTGATGCAGTGCTAGACAATACAGCAAAGATAATGCAGGATGTCACAGTTGCACACAGAGGTGCTGCTAACTCAGTCTTTGTCAAGGTGACTTCCCAGAGCAGGTGATGTCTCAGACATCCAGGAGGAGTGAGAGTAAGCCAGGAGAGCTTTCCAGGCAGAGGGAGCTGAATGTGTAGACGGTGAGAGGAAAGATGGCATAAGCAAGAACTGAGCAGAATTGGGGGGCGGAGGAGGTAAGAGAAAGGTGGGGTAGTGGAGAGCCATAATGGATTGTAAGCGGAACAGTGGCATGGTTAGTCTAATCACACAGCAACCAGAGAGGAGCAGTCCCAGCAGTTGGAAGATCACTCAGGAAGCTCCTCTGTAATTCAGGCAGTAGGTGAGGATGGTTTGAACTTGGGTTGGCAGTGAAGACAGAAGGGAAAAGACTTGTGAGATACTAAGGAAGCAGAAAGGATATGACTAAATGAGTAATTGGATATAAAGGAGAGAGAGGGGCAGAGGATAACTCCAGGTTTCTGGCTTGTTCGAGTAGGTAGAGGGTGATGCCATTCACCATGACAGGGAGGAATACAGAAAGACTGGGAGAGGTGGTTTTGGACATTTGATTTGGGGACCTATCCAGTAGGCCGTTGAATATTTGGAATCTGGAGCACAGGAAAAAGATCTGGGCTAGAAAGATGGATTTGGGGATCCTCCCAGTGAGAGTATGTTGATCTTAGAGAGAAACAGCCCAGCATAGAGTTCTCAGGAAGGACAGCACTCCAGGTCTCTCAGAGGGGGAGTGGCTCAAGGAGGCAACTAAGAAGGGCCAGGGGGCAGGAGGAGGTAGCATCTTTTCATATCACTCTTTTTCACGTGGTAACATATCAGGGGAGCCAAAAAAGTAGAGTTCTAAGAAGAGAGAGCACTAAGAACTGAATCTTTCAGGCATTTTCTCTTGTTTAGATAGATATTTTAAATTTGTGAATGTTGAGAGTAAAATTCTTCAAAGCATTTTTCTGGAGTGCATTTCTAAATATGGCTCGTGTCATTCTGAACTGACCCAAAAAAAAAACCAAAACCCCAAAACATAGAAATGGTTGGGCTTTGAATTTCATGGACAATAGCTTCACTAATCTCCCTAGTTTCTTGTAGTGTCCCCGCACTATCAAGGGTGACTATTTAAATTTACATTGTTGTGGACTGGAGAAGACAGAGCATTTTCTGTATTTTTTTTCTTTGAAGAGGTAATTGTTTGTGGAATGGTTCATCTTTATTTTTTTAAATAACAGCTTTATTAAAATATAACTCACATACCATACAGCGCACCCATTTAAAGTGTATAATTCAGTGATTTTTAGTATATTCATAGAATTACACAACTGCCACCATAGTTTCAGAATGTTTCCATCACTCCAAAAAGAAACCCTGTACCCATTAGCAGTCCTCATTCTTCCTGTTCCCCCCAGCCCTAGGCAACCATTCATCTACTTTCTGTTTCATGGATTTGCCTATTCTGGACATTGTGTATTAATGGAATCATACAATATGTGACCTTTTATATCTGGCTTCTTTCACTTAGCATAATGTTTTCAAGCCTCATCCATGTACTAGTATATATCAGTACTTCATTCCTTTTCTTTTTTCATTTTTTAAAACTTTTTAATTTATGTACTTATTTTACAATATCATAATTTTTAAGTTGAAGTATAGTTGATGTACAATATTATATGTAACATGTATACAAGATAGTAATCCACAATTTTTAAAGATTATACCTCATTTGTAGTTATTATAAAATATTGGCTGTATTCCCCAAGTTGTACAGTACATCCTTGTAGCTTATTTCATACCTGATAGTTTGCAGTGCTTCATTCCTTTTATGCCTGAAGAATATTATTCCATTGTATGGCTGCACTATGAAGTTGTTAGACATTTGGGTTGTTTCACTTTTTTACTGTTACGAATAGTATTGCTCTGAACTTTCATACGCAGGTTTTTGTGCAGACATATGTTTTTTATTTTTCTTGCATATGTACATAATTGTGGAATTGCTTGGTTATATGGTAATTCTGTGTTTAACCTTTTGAGGCACCGCCGGACTATTTTCCAAAATATCTGCACCATTTTACATTACCACGACTCCAGTTTCTCCACATCCTGTCAACACTTGTTATTGTCTTTTTTTATTTTAGTCATCCTAGTGGCTGTGAAGTGGTATCTCACGGTTTTGATTCGCATTTCCCTGATAGCAAATGATGTTGAGCATCTTTTCACATGCTTATTGGCCATTTGTACATCTTCTTCAAAGGGCTTATTTATATTCGATCATCAGTTTGGGCAAGGTTGTAAAACGTAACACTGTGAAAGAACAGGTGAACATATTTGACTAGAGAAATGAGGTAAAGCATGTGTGTGTGTGTGTGTGTGGTGGGGGTGAAAGATGCTGTAAACAGATTGTAAAAGGTAAAGGTCCAGCTCCCCAGAGAAATAGCCCGCACTCTTCACCCATATCAAGCCTGAACTTGACAAACAGGATGCTTGCTGATCCTGTTACCTAGTTCTGACTTTGAAAGCAGAGACCATGATTTCCACCTTCTTCCCCACAGCACCTATCTTAAGGCCATAGATATTGCAACCAGGTTTCTGCAGACCAGTGGCCTCACAAGTAGAGTGGTATCTTGCCACATGGGTGAACATAGGTTCATCTATATTGAGGCGTGTATCAGAATTTCCTTCCTTTTTAGGCTGAATAATATTCCATCGTATGGTTATACCACATTTTGCTTATCCATTCATCAAATGTTGGTGGACATCTGGCTTGTGGCCTTTTTGCTATTATGAGTAATGTTGCTATGCATATTGGAGTACAGCTATTTGTTTGAGTCCTGCTTTCAGTTCTTTTGAGTATATGCCCAGGAGTGGAATTACTAGGTAACATGATAACATGTTAATTAATTGTATGTTTAATTTTTTGAGGAACTAACATACTGTTTTCCACAGTGGCTGTACCATTTCACCTTTCCACCCGCAATGAACAGTTTTCTAATTTCTCCATGTCCTTGCCAACATGTTGTTTTCTGTGTGTGTTTTTTTCCTAACAGCCACCCTAATGCATATGAAGTGTTACCTTATTGTGGTTTTGCTTTGCATTTCCCTAATCGTTAGTGATGTGTTGTGCATCCTTTCATGTGTTTATTGGCCATTTGTCTATTTCTTTGGACAGATGTCTAGTCAAATCCTTTACCCATTTGACAAATGGATTGTTTGGTTTTATATTTTTGAGCTATAGGAGTTCTTTATATATTCTGGATATTAATCTCTTTTCAGATGTGTATATAATTTACAGATATTTTCTTTCATTTTGTGGGTTGTCTTTTCATCCTATCAGTAGTGTTCTTTGACAAACAAAAGTTTTAATGTTGGTGAGGTAAAATTTGTCTGTTTTTTCTTTTGTTGCTTGTGCTTTTGGTGTCATAGCCAAGAAATCATTGCCGACTCCAAACTCATTACTGTTTATGTATTTAATGAATTTTGCTCCAGAATTATTCTTTTTGATGCTTAAGTTCTCCTGTTACTGGCCATTAATAGAGCTTACTCCTTAGGTTGACTCTGGGTCCTTTGAAATGAGCTGGGTAGTGTTAGATAGATTCCCTGATTTCTGGCCTGATAAGAATTCCTGGGCTTATCTTTTTGTTTCTGACCCCAGATCTAGAATCAGTCATTTCTATAAGGAGTTCTGATTCGATTTGTTGGGAGGAAATAATATTAAGGACATAAACAGAAATTGGGATGTGAATTCTTCTAGGTCAGGATAAAAGTAACTTTCTGGAAAGATAAAGATAAATAATGATTTAAATTCAAAAGAAAAATGAAAGAATTATTATTTCTTTGATTTTTATATTTGTATCTCTTCTCCTTTGTTGACAGTAACACAAGAGAGGTACAATCAAACCACTGTTTTAATTTGAAAAACTCCTCTGTGTGATTATTCCACCCATATGATAATTTAGGTTCACTTGTCTTTTTTTTTTAATTGAAGTATAGTTGATTGACCGTATTGTATTTGTTTCAGGTTTATAGCAAAGTGATTTGGTTATATATATACTTAAAATTTTTTTTCCATTATATTTTTTTCCAATATCATTACAAGATATTGAACATAGTTTCCTGTGCTATATAGTAAATCATTGTTGTTTATCTATTTTATATATGGTAGTGTGTATCTGTTAATCCCATACTCCTAATTTATCTCTCCTGCCCTTGTCTTTTTAAAATTTTTAGGGATTGTTTTCTTTCTTATTTACTTTCATTTCATAATTTTATTAAATATTTACGTGGTTCTGAAGATAAAACTCTAAAGCAAGGTAGATTGAGAGATGTATGTTTCCTTCCTTGCCTTTGTTCTTTCTTCTCTGTACTTCATAGATAAACATTTTTATTGGTTCTTGGTTTATTCCCTGATTTTTAAAAATATAAGCGAGTGGTGTGTGTGTGTGTGTGTGTGTATGTATGTGTGTGTGTATCAATTCCCTACACACTACTACACTCCCATCTTATTTCTTATTTTGTTTTTCATCTTGGTGATCATATTTCTTATTTTCAGTAATTTCTTTCTTGAATCTGCTTCCTTTATAATTTGCTTGCTTTTGTTTTAAGGGTGCATTATCTTCCCAAATCTCCCTGAGGATACCAGTTAGACTTTCTTTTCAGGTCTTTCTGTGGGACCTAAAATATATGTTTCTTCTGGGGTCTGATCTACTTTTCATTTTCATCTTAGTTTTCCTTTTTGTCCAGTTAGTTTTTTTTCACTATCTGATGATTCTTATCAGTGAAGAACTGGATTGATTATACATGTTATTGAAAAGAAGTTTCTGTTTTTCCAGCAGCCCTCTTGCCTTCATAGGAGTTGGCTGATTCACTGACCAGGAGTGAGAAGTAGGAGGAAATCAGATAGATGAACCTATTTCCCACTCCTGAGTTCTGTACCTGCCGACTCAAAGACAGGCATTTATCCAGCTCCTCCAGGAAAAAAGGCTCTGCTTCTCCACCCGCCGTTGACTTTACATGTTCTGCGAAGTGTCTAACTCTGCTCTGGTCTGTGTTCTCAGAGGCTCTGCTTCCTCTCTGTCTTCTAGAAAGTGGCTGGCATTTAAACAGACTATATCCCTCAGCTGTTCTCATTACTATTATGTGATTCCCTTGTGAATATCTTTACTGCTACGTCTCTAGGATTTGGGGAAGGTAGGAAGGTAAGTACACGTGCCTGTTTATTTAGCGTGTCATCTTGAAATGAAGCTACTTTGTGCCATACCATTGGCAACAATAGGACTGCTTTTCATTCCTTTTTCTCTATTGACTTAATGACTGAAATGAATTTAAAATTGTTCTCTTTGTTCACAAAAACAACTATCACATCACTGAAACATGTGATGCCACCCGCCCAAGAATACATAGATTTCTACTCAGTTCAGAGGTTTAGTGAGTTTTCTTTTTTTTTTTTGTCAGTAACTTTTTTCCAGACAATCAAGATAATAAGACCTGCTTACTTTCACCTATTGGAATGGTAATAACAACAAGATCATCAAACATTTCATGCTTAATATGTGCCAGACATTAGTCTACATGCTTTATATGTATAAGGTCATTCAACTCTGTAACATTAGTTACTGTTATTATCCCTATTTTGCAGGCGATGAAACTGAGGCACAGAGAGGTTAAAGAACTTGCCCAAATTCACATAGCTGGTAAGTGGCAGAGCCAGGATCTCACCCAGTTAGTTGGCTCCCAACACCATTCTCTTTTCCACTACATTCTCTAAAGGGAAGCTCTTCAAATTTTCTTAGGATGACCACTTTTTTTAATCTTACCAGTTGTGGGGGGAAAAACCCTTTTATACTTTACTTTTGTCTAGTTTCAAGCATGTTCTTTGTTATTGTTTGAAATACAAATTGCTGATGACTTTGATTACAGAAAGGAATGTTTTAAATGATGTAATCCAATCTGAGTTCAATTGTAATCTATTGAGAACGTTTGCAAATTATTGTAGTATTGAAAAGATGTGACATCTACCAAAAAGTCCTTTTCTGCTATGTGTTTGAGAATCTTAGGCAGCATTAAAACTTATGAATGTGGTACTTAAATCTCACAAATCTTGGCTACAACTAACTTCTGAGGTCTTTCACAATGCATATTTATTTCCATGTCTCATGAATAGTGGATTCATAAATGGTGAATATTTTCCCAGTGGAAATTCTTTTTCAGAAAATACAGAACAGAAATGTCCTTAAATGGAGTGAACATATTTTAGCCCTTCAGGCAGATAAATATGGGGAGAAAGCATTAAAAAAAAACAGTAAGACAAGCGGTGAGAAGAATTTTATTAAAACAATAATAAAAAGGATATATCCTGGTGCCTATATACACATTTGTGTGGATTTTAAACTTTTTATCGCAGAAATGTTCAGTTGTATGTAACAGTAGAGCAAATAATATGATGAACCTCATGAACCCATCACCCAGCTTCTCACAATATTTTGTCAGGGGGTATTATGATCACTGCCATGGAGACGACTCCTTAGTGGGATGTCACCACCTTCTCTGCGTGCTGTTTCTTGGCAAAGTCCCATTTGAAAATGATAGAAATTGAATGGTGTTTCAATTCCATGTTATTTCCTTGAATTCAACTCTATCTAGTTTTGATTACAAAGATCAGCACAGGAACACCAGATCTGTTAAGAATAAGTAAAAACCAATTTTAATTTTCTTCAAGGGCTTGTTCTCTCTGCCTGGAGAAGAACCCCAGGCCTGACTGTGAGATTTAAGTGGTCTTATTAGAAGCAATTATGATTCAAACAGAAGTTTTCATTGAATTGTCCAACCAGCCCCTTGGTTCTAAGAAATAGAGTCATTTATCACATGGAGATGGAGGTCTCTTTCTGGATTCTTGAATGACTAGGAATTTTTGTGAAATAACCTGAGTTGCATTAAGTGGTGTTTATATAGTCAGCATCTTCAGATGTCCTTGCTCAGGTCTCCTCATCCTTGTGGCTTTCAGCAGGTTTTTAGCTGATTGTTTTGGTTCTCAAATTATAACATGCATCTAGAATCACCTGAGGAGCTTGTAAAACATGCATATTCTCTGCTCCTGCCCCCAAAGATTGATTCATTAGGTTTGGATTGTATCCCAGGAATCAGTATTTTAATAATCATTCCATTAAGAGGGGTGTTCTGATTCTAATGTCAGGGAAGGAAGCCCTTAAGCCATAATTAGCTTGTTTCTTTTCATCCCAGTCTTAACAAGGTTAATGTTAATATGGCATCTTGTAAAAAAAAATTGCTTAGAAAGTTTCCATTCTTAATAACATGGTCAGTGGGCATTATGACTGCCCCCTGTACACTGATATGATTTATAGACAGACGTACTAATACAGGTGCACCTTTGGTCCTGGGCAATTCAGTTCTGATGCTCACAGTCTGAGGCCACACCTTGAGAATATAGGTGCATGGGTATTAAGTGGTGTGGGTACAAAGGGTTCAATATGTATTTCTCTTTGTTTTCTCCTGAATGTGTTAGCTTGAACCTTAGGCCTCCCCTGCCTGGTTATCTGCTGGGCCAACACTAAATGCAGAAAGTGAGGCTCCGTTTTGATGAAGTCACCTGCTGCCTCCAGCTCTATGTAGCCTTCCTCTGCAGGGAAGGGAAGTATTGGGAGTGTGGAGGGCAGGTGGTTCTTCACCTGGGGCTCCAAATCCAAAACTGAGTGGAAACGTCAGTGTTTTGGATATATGCTTTTCTATGGAGGGTTCTTTCATCAGTTTCTCAAAGTAGTCTGTGACCTTTTTCTCCTCACCACCTTCCATTCCCCTACTCTGCATATATCCACACAACAAGGAACCATGTCCTGGAGCAGCCTATGTAAGAATCACCTGGCCTCTGGAAAGCAACTGTAGGGACTCCGCATTACAGAATAGCCTCTCCTGTGTGGAATCAGAATTGTTTTCACCATCTGGTATAAACTAAGCAACACACAGCTGGGTTGGGTGGACAGCTGTGGCTAACTGTAGTGCTTATCCAATATTCCATATGTCCCTACATTCCCCAATTTCTCTTGTAATTACATTAGCACCACGTGACTCATTCTAGCCAGAGGGCTGTGATGGGGAATGATGTGTGTCACTCGCAGTTGGAAGCAGTGAAGAGTGCATGAGTTTCTTTTCTCATGCTAAGGTGACTGTGGAAAACACAGGTTCCCAAGATGTTGCTACAAGTTGAAGGGTTGCTAGACCCTCATTGAACTTTACGTGAGCAAGAAATAAACCTTCTTGGGTTAGGCCACTCCTTTCAGGATTTGTTACTGCAGCATAGCTTAATCTATGTGCCAGTCTGGATAGTTCTGAACAGAACATTTCTGAGAGTCAAGATACTGGCACTATGCAACCTAGTGCAACACAGTGTCCTGGTATTTTTTTCCCCTCATCTGTAAGTTGAAGGGCTTAAATTAGGTGATCTTTAAGGGCCTTTTGGCACATTCCCAGATTCGGGGTAGCATTTAAATAGATTTCTAGTTGAAGTATGAAAAGGAAACTAAGTCTGGCATTAGAAGTGTCCCTGGAAAACTTTTTAAAAATTATGTACCTTTTGCTGTTAGAAGTTATGTAAGGGAGATAGAAATGAAAGATGAAATATTTTTTTCAACAGTGCTATTGAAATATAATTGAGATATAGTATATTCAGAGTTATGCAACCATCACCACTAACTTCAGAATCTTGCCATCACTCCAAAAAGAAATGCTATACCCATTAGCAGTAACTCTTTATTCCACAAACCTGCTTTCTATTTCTGTGGAGTTACCTATTCTGAGCATTTCCTATCAATGGGATCGCATAATATTCTTGTGTCTGGCATCTTTCACACTTAGCAGAATGTTGTCAAAGTTGCTGTTTTAACACGTAACCATACTTCATTCCTTTACATGTATATAATGCATATACAATATTCTGTTGTATAGTTATATCACATTTTGTTTATTCATTCATCAGTTGATATATATTTGGGTTATTTCTGGTTTCTGACTTATGAATAATGCTGCTGTGAGTTTTGATGTAAAGGTTTTTGTGTGGATATGTTTTTCATTTCTCTTGAATATGTACATTGGGGTGAAATTTCTGGGTCATGTAGTAACACTATACTTATTTTGAGGAGCTTCCAAACTGTTTTCCAAAGTGTTACCCCATTTTATAATTCTACTAGCAATGTATGAAGATTCCAGTTTGTCCACATTCTCACCAACACTTATTATTTGTTTGTCTTTTTGATTGACGTAATCAGTAATTATCTTTGATGAAGCAGCAATGTGCAAACCAAACAGTGAAGAGATTTTAATATATATTTTACCTTGTTGTTTAAGCAGTTGTAATGTTCGTTGGCATTTTTATACAAATTTTCACCATGAGCTTAGCATTAAATTAAAAAGTTTAATGAATAATAATGTAATTCCTCAACTTGTTTAGCTTTTACAAATTTTACTTTTTAATTTTTAAAATGATGCATTATTAAAGGGGAAAAAAGGAGTAAATGATCCACTAGATGTAATTGTTCTCTTAAAGCATAACTTTGTCCTTATAAATTATATAAATTGTCTAAATTGTCAGATAGATTGTACCTTAAATATATATAGACTTGAGCCTTTAAAAATCATAGTGAAATCCTGAAAGGTTGTACATCATGGAATTGCTGAATTGTTACATTAAATATATCCTCGGGGTAGGGGGTGTATAGCTCAGTGGTAGAGTGCATGCTTAGTATGCATTAAGTTCTGGGTTCTGCCCCCAGTACCTACATTAAAAATAATCAATCAGTCAATCCTGGGTTCACTACTTAAAGGAACTTCTGTGTATCTTTTCAGATGATCTGATTATTTGTTTCACATTTTGATGTTTTATATTTTTAAGTCGAGGAGTACCCCATTGTGTTGGGAATGTAAGTGTTTCAAGTAGTGTTATAGTTGATCCTCATGACTCTCAGATTCTGTATTTGCAGATTGGCTTACTGAATAAATTTATTTGCAACACAAAATCAATACTTGTGGAGCTCTTGTGGTCAGTTGTAGACATGTACAAAGTAGCAAAAAATTTGAATTGCCCAACATGCACACCTCCCCCTCCTCCTACCAGTTGAGGTCGAACAACTGCCTTCTCATTTCAGCTCTTAGACTATAAAGTGTTCTTTTCTTAGTCTGTTCAGTGCCACATCTTTTTTGCATTTTTATGCTTTTTGTTGGCAATTTCACTGTTTAAAATGGCCCCTAAGCATAGTGCTAAAGTGCTGTCTAGTGTTCCTAAGCCCAAGAAGGCTGTAATGTACCTTACAGAGAAAATAGATGTGTTAGATGAGCTTCATTCAGACATAAGTTTTAGTGTTACTGGCTGTGAGTTCAATGTTAATGAATCAACAGTATATATTAAGTAAGGTATGTTTAAACAGAAACACACATAAAACAAGGTTATGTATTGATTGGTTGGTAAAAATGTTTTGACCTGAGGCTCACAGGAACTTTACATGTCATCCAGGAGTACTGGTTCAGTATTTGCTAATTCAGTGTTCAAGACACGACTTTATATTAACTACCTATAAATGAAGAGAATCAACTCTATGTGATGAGTTGCTTTTCTCTTGTTGCTTTCAAGATTCTATCTTTGGTTTTGCCTTTAGGCAATTTGATTATAATATATCTAGGTTGATTT